GAATTATAGAGTAAATTATTTTCTTAAAGATTTTTTTGAAAAAGATAATATTGACTTTTCAATTGTTCTGTCTATAGTATATTTTTGTTTCTTAAGAGAGATGTGGCAATAATTTATTCTCATTTATCAATGTCAGAGTGCTATTAGCATATGCTATTGTCTTACAAATGTTCCTTCCTGTTGTAATTCTGGATATCATTCTGTTAATCACCATTAACCATTATAAAAAGAATGGGACAGGTTGTATTTTAAATAACAGGAAGGATGAAGATACTCTTGTCTTATCCTATTTAGTTCACTTTGAATATTTCACAATTCATGCTTTAGTGAATGACTCTGTTATTGTCAATGTGAACTGTGAGAATTAAAAAAGAATACTTTGTTCCAGATGGTAACTTCTCCAGATATTCATAATGTAATGTTTTATGCAAAACGTCTGCATTGATTAATTAAGGATATTGCTAATTTTTTGGGACATATTCCCCAGCTGGAAGTTATTTTAATTTCGGCTGAGCTCATTTATGCATTCCTGTCTTCACCTATAATTAATTTGTTAGTGAGGAGTACTGGCTATAGGCATTGGACAATTGTATCCTGGAGTCAGTAGCATTCAGAGGTTGAAGGCTGTTGCTTAATACCACTCTTATGCATATTATAATAGTGTAGGATTCATTGTGTTGACTATTGGCACAGCACTATAGGTAGAAGTGAATCAACAGGCAAAATCCGTGCAGGACCCATGGTAGCTCAACTGTTTATGGGTTTGGGCATGGGCTGATTGCCACCATCTCAATATTCTCTACACATGGACTCAACCACTGGGATATATCTCAGAATAATATGCTATCTGTAGAATCAAGTTGCCAGACTATGATGACTATACATGATGTCCGTAGAGATGTTTGCCTGAAACAGTGCTCATGACATTCATAACTGTCACGATTCTGGTACCTAACACGCTAACAGGTCACAGAGAGGAAGGGTGCTATACCGGTCCTTAGAGTGGCCGGGCTAAGCACACTAAGAATGGTCAGGAGACAAGCCAAGTAAAGGGAGCCAGAAAACGGGAGAATGAGAAACAAGCCGAGGTCAAAGGAGTGGAGAAGACAGGATAATCGGAATAACGAGCCAAATAATCGGAAACCAGAGAGCTACACAAGAGAACAGCACTACAGGTAACACAAGACCACAACAGGGCAATGATGGACAGGAAAGGTAAGTATAAATACCCTTGGTTTAATTCTGATTGGATAACTTCCAATCAGAATTAACAATCACACGTGGGGGATATCTATGCCTCCCACTGTGATTGTGGTACTGTTTCTTTAACGCCGGGTCACTCATGTGACCCCGGCGTTTGCATAAATCATCGACCTCCCAGCGTGCAGCGTTATACATGCTGCCGCTGGGAGGCATGAAGGACGCAAGCGGCGAGCGACGGAGAGGAGATGCCGCTCGCCGACAGGTAAAAGGAAGGGAGACAGCGGGTGGCGATGGACTGAGGGTGAGGGCTGCAAGTGGCGTGCAGTCTCCCCTCCTAGCCGCCCGCAGACCCCTGACTATAACACCAGGAACATGCATTTCTCAGCAGCGATGCTACCATAGAGACATGTATTTGTCAAATGACTATATTGCATGTTCTGCTTGCGTAGGGCAATCCATATGGATATCAGTGAGTTTATCAGTGAGGTTTTTTCATCTTCTCTGTTATAATTTCCCAGAACTATAAATGGATTTGCATATATCAAATATGCCTCCAAAATAGTCTAAATAGGCCCAAATTTTTCTTATTTGTGTTTGGGTTTTTTTTTTATTGAGGAAGATTTTCCAAAGACAATTGCTAGCAAATTCATTTGTTTTTTAAATTCTAATTTTGAGTAAATGGCATGAAAAAAATGCGTTTGTGAAAGCTGAGTCCCTGAATTTTGGATGTTTGCCTTTTGTGAAGTGTGTTTCTTGTACAACTTTAATGCCGACTTTTACTTTCTTCATATGTTGATTTTACTGGTGAATGTAATCCATGTGTATTACTGAGAAAATTTGAAGGTCAGACATTTCATTCTTGTGTAAGTTTAAACTGAAATACTGCAGGAAAAAGGAAATGAATCGGAAAAGATGGGGGGAAAAAAAAAGCAGAATGTACTGGTTAATAGACTGCAAGGTGAATAATTAGTTTTTTTCCGAAAAAAAATGATTTATTTTTTTGTGTGCAAGTTAGTTGCATTTTTTCACCATTTAGTTCACAGATCAAGTGAGAAGCAGTACCCAACAGAGGGAAAAGGAGGAGAAGTAAAAAAAAAAATATCTATAATAATGCATGGGCATGCAAGGCTTCCAATGGCACTGGGTCACTAGTGTTTATTGATGATGTGACAGAAGCAGCCGGATGACTTCTGAAGTGTATTGGGATATACTGTCTGCTCAGATTCAGCCAAATTCAGCAAATTGGATGGAGCTTCACTTTACAGATGGACAATGACCCAAAACATACTGCAAAAGTAACCCAGGAGATATTTGAGGAGGGGGGGGGGGGAAGGAAACATTATTTCCTCCTGCATTATATTGACTCTGCCATTGAAGAATATTCCACTCTTTGCCGCAGATATCTCCTGGGTTACTTTTGCAGTATATTTTTGGTCACTGTCCATCTGTAAAGTGAAGCTCCATCCAATTTGCTGAATTTGGCTGAATCTGAACAGACAGTATATCCCAATACACAGAAGTCATCCGGCTGCTTCTGTCTTCTTTCACTTCATCAATAAACACCAGTGACTTAATGCCATTGGAAGTCATGTATGCCCATGCCATCACGCAGCCTCCACTGTGTTTTACAGATGATGTGGTAGGCTTTGGATCATGTACCAAACCTTCTCCATACTTTTTTTTTTTTTCATCATTCTGGTACAGGTTGATCTTTCATCTGTCCAAAGAATGCTGTTCCAGAACTGGGCTGGCTTTTTTTTTTTTTTTAAATGTTTTTTAGAATAGTCTAAAATGGCCTTTCTATTCTTGAGACTTATGAATGGTTTGTACCTGTGGTGAACCATCTTTATTTGCTCTTTTAAAGTCTTTGCTTTATGGTAGACTTAGATAATTAAATGTCTACCTCCTGGAGAGTGTACTTTACTTGGCTGGATGTTGTGAAGGGTTTTCTTTAACATGAAAGGGATCTTATGATCATCCACCACTTTTTTTTCACATGGATGTCCGGGGCTTTTATATGTTGCAGAGCTCACCAGTAAGTTCTTTTCCTTCTCAGATTGTACAAAAATGCCACTCCTATTGTTCCTGCGCTCTCTCTGATGGATTTTGTTTTTGCAGCCTAAAAATTGCCTGTTTCACTTGAAAACTCCTTTGAACGTATGTTGTCGGTTCACAGCAACAGCTTCCAAATGCGAATGCCGCACCTGGAATCAACCCCAGACCATTTACCTGCTTAATTGATGAAGAAATAATGAAGAAATAGCCCACATCTGTCCATAAAACTGATTTTGAGTCAATTGTCTACATATTAAAGAGCTAAAATTCCTAAACCCTTTTTCCAATTTTGATGTGAATACCTTTAAATTAAAGCTGCGTGACTGCACTTTATATTTACAGATTTAGATGTATAAGCAGTCATCACCACTTCTATTTTATAGACTTTGCCCATATGCATTGCCGAGGCAGATGAGACAAAAAATAACATTTTAAAATATGTCATGTATTTGCTTTTTTTTTTTTACTTTTAAGAATATACTTACAAGAGTACCATTATGTAATTTCATTGTGACAGGTACACTTTAATATAACAGAACCTAAGCAGTATGCCAGTTCTGCCAGTACCTGCTATATTTTCTCAATCAATAGGGTTACAATAATAATCACAAATTATTTAACCAGGAAAGGTACATTCAGATTACTCTGGTGTTCAAGTTATCATAGCCCTACATCCAGGGGATGTTACTATTACCCAATTTAATGGTACTCATTTTTTCTACCTCGGAAGAATGAAGGGCTGAGTCAACCCTGCCCAAGGGTTGAACACGTTCTACTGATGATGCATTAGCCCACTGAGCTATCTCACTGGCCCAACAATGGGAAGAGTCTGTGAGGTCTGCATGTGTTTCACTCCTGATTTCTTAATAAACACTCTCCTTTTAACTTTATTATTTATTATGAATTACTTAATTCTATTCTAAATTAAACAAATTGATGGCAAATCACACATCTTTGCTGAAAATGAGTGGCTTTGTTTCCAATAAATCCGTTTGAATTTCCTATTTAAAATTAAAACAATGACAAATATTGAAGCAATAAGTCTTTCCTCTAGCATGCCCAAATCCACAACCCTCTGCTATGAATATTTGTATCAGCCCTGAGAGATTTGAATTCCTTGTGGAACATAACTTTCCTATATTCCACACACAGTAATGCTCTGCACTTCCAAACAGGAACTAGGAACAGAGATTGGCAAAAAAGCACTGCTATGGGATTTGTCAATTGGAACAGTGGCTAACTGCATTTACCAGATGTGCCACTATTAGGATAATATTTCTGCCAGCTAGAATGAATTTAAAATACACACAATATACTATGAAAATATGTATTCAGTAAAAATGTAATGAAACAAATGGAAAAAAGTGAAAGGTAGTTTATTGCCTACACCAATAAATAAATACCTAATTATAGTGCCTTCTAATTCTACCAGATTTGTTTTTATTCCCTTATCTGTAACCTTCAAGAGAGCAATATATATAATTATTAGCTCTATAATTATTAAATTACCCGTATATACTCGTGTATAAGTAGATCTCATGTATAAGTCGAGTGCAGTTTTGTGACCAACAATTGTGAAATATGCTATGCCTCGTGGATAAGTCGAGGGTAAACCTTGGGGCTATGAAATTCTGTGATTTTTATAATTATATACACACACACTCATACAAACACACACTCTGCATTATATACACACACACTTATACAAACACACACTCTGCATTATATACACACACTCATACAAACACACACTCTGCATTATATACACACACTATGTGTATATAATGCAGAGTGTGTATATAATGCAGAGTGTGTGTTTGTGTAGTGTGTGTGAACTGGGTGGGGGGAGGGCATTTTTATTATTTTAATTTTTTTTAATTTCAATATTATTATTTTTTTATTATTTTAATTTTTTGTTGTTGTCCCCCCCTCCCTGCTTCTTAACTGGTCAGGGAAGGGGGCTATCTTAATCCCTGGTGGTCCAGTGGCATGGGCTGTGAAGTGGGGGGGCTAGGAGGCAATTACTTACCTTTCCTGCAGCTCCTGTCAGCGCCCTTCTCCTCCGTTCTGGTCAGCTCCACTGTAAGTCTTGCGGTCTGGTTGACGCGTGGATCGTTGCCATGGCTCTGACTGCCGCGGCTCTCTAAGTTGCCATAATACAGACAGTGACTCGAGTATAAGTCGAGTGGGGGTTTTTAAGCACAAAAAATGTGCTGAAAAACTAGACTTATACTCAAGTATATACGGTATATATAATAATTTTCACACTTGGTAGTATTTAATATAATTGATGATGAGCTCACCTGTAATCTATCAACTGATATATTTTTATATTTTATTTTTATGTATTTATTTTTTGAAGGGTAGTATATGGAATTGTCTTTACTTTATGGCTTTTATATTGACACTCTAGATACAGAAGCAATGCTGAGTCTTATCGATAATCATAATATTAAAGGACCACTATAGTGCCAGGAAAACATACTCGTTTTCCTGGCACTATAGTGCCCTGAGGGTGCCCCCACCCTCAGGGACCCCCTCCCGCCCGGCTCTGGAAGGGGAAAGGGGTAAAAACTTACCTTTTTCCAGCGCTGGGCGGGGAGCTCTCCTCCTCCGATCCTCCTTCTCTCCTCCCCGTCGGCTGAATGCGCACGCGCGGCAAGAGCTGCGCGCGCATTCAGCCGGTCACATAGGAAAGTATTCATAATGCTTTCCTATGGACGCTGGCGTGCTCTCACTGTGAAAATCACAGTGAGAAGCACGCAAGCGCCTCTAGTGGCTGTCAATGAGACAGCCACTAGAGGAAATAGGGGAAGGCTTAACCCATTCATAAACATAGCAGTTTCTCTGGTCTGGGTGCCTAGAGTGGTCCTTTAATGTATGCTATTTCTCTTAATACGCATGCCCATAGTTGTCACGTTTTAAATTTAAAAAAGAAACAAAAAAAAACTAGCGTTTGTATTCTGTTTCCCTTCTGCCAATATCCAATTCATTATGAATAGTGATGTCCCGAACTGTTCGACGAACGGTTTGCGAACGGTTCGCCATGAATGGTTCGCCACGGACTCATCATTGAGTAAACTTTGACCCTGTACCTCACAGTCAGCAGACACATTCCAGCCAATCAGCAGCAGACCCTCCCTCCCAGACCCTCCCACCTCCTGGACAGCTCACTAAAAATGCAGCTTCACAATGGATGCTGTCCAGGAGGTGGGAAGGTCTGGGAGGGAGGGTCTGCTGCTGATTGGCTGGAATGTGTCTGCTGACTGTGAGGTACAGGGTCAAAGTTTACTCAATGATGAGTCCGTGGCGAGCCGTTCGGCGAACAGTTCGGGACATCACTAATTATGAAGTTTGTATCAGTAATGATGTTCTTCATTTACCACTCCTGATACTCTGAAACATAGTCACGGTTGTTCACTAAATTCAACATTTTAAATGCATACAACCGTCCTAAAACTGAAAAAATATCTCCATGTGATCTGTGTTTCAGTTCTGCCGTTTTGGCCTCAATAATACATTTATTTTGAGTTCCTGACCAGGAAAACTAGTTGGCCTCCTCAAATAACATAACAGAATGAAATACATTATATAAACCTCAAGAACAGAACAGCAAAATGCACAAGTGAACCGCTATTACACTAAAAATAATTACACTCAACAGGCAAAACAAAAAAGTATCCCCAACTATTTTCATGGATATAACTACATACCAGTAGTGTGTAGCTAACCTTGTCACTTTTGTAAAAATCTGGGTAAATGTAGTTGAAAAACAGCTGGAGTGTAAATGCAGGACCCACTGAGATAGACCTCGGCCTGGTGTATAAAAGGCTTATTCTTTCCAGATTTATTCATTATCTATCTCCGTGGATCTGTGAACAGTTCTAGACTGAAGAACAATGAATTTTACAAAATTAGGCCTTTTATGACCAATACCTCTGCAAAGCTAAGTGTAATATCCCAATGAGCCATAATACGTATTCTCCTAGACAAAATAAAAATCTGTCCTTAGCATAAAGGTCATGGAGAATAAGGCAGCTCAGTTTCACAGTTTTACCTATAGAGACGGATTAGTGCTATTATCATGGAGCAAATCAAATGAAGCTGGGTTTATTTCTTAACATCCTTAAATGGTTTCTTTTTCCATATCTGTATCGGAGCCAAATCTATCAGCATATCTCCGACTGCACAAAGCTGCTCGGAACTTTATGTCCAGTTCTTAGTTGCTTCTTTAAGCTTTTTAACAGTTTATTTTTTTGGAAATCTGAGTGTGTTTTTCATTTTTTGTAAGGGATTGAACTTCTAAAAACAATACAACTCCATTATTCGCTAACTAGAAATACATTTTCAGAGTTAAGTAGCAATCTTCCCATCCAGGACACAGGTGAGATTAACTCAACAGGGAAAGAAAAAAAATAATGACACTTGTTAAAGTTACAGTGGGTGCAGTAGTGGGACAGTGAATATTTGTACATATATCATTTGGAAAGGTTTTTCAAACAGTGTTGAATCATTTAAACAAAAATAATATTGCTGTGTAAGTTTTTCAAATGATCGAAAGGAACACTATAGGGTCAGGAACACAAACATGTATTCCTGACCCTATAGTGTTATAAACACCATCTAGACCCCCCTTTGCTCCCCTATATATAGTAAAATATTACCTTTATTTCAGTCTGCTGTTGCTGGCTCTGCCCCGATCTGTCTCCTTGGCTGATATAATTAGAAGTGGTAAACTGAGCCAATCACAATGCTTTCCCATAAGAAATCATTGGATTGTCTGAGACTGTTAAGGATGCTGATTATGGAAAGAGCCAGCACAAGCCAAACACAGCCCTGGCCAATCAGCATTTCCTCATACAGATGATTAAATCTCTCTATGAGGAAAGTTCAGTGTCTCCATGCAGAGCCCCAGGAAGCATCTCTAGTACTCATCTTGGGAGTGGCCAGTGGAGGTATCCCTAGGCTGTAATGTAAACACTGCCTTGAATATACTCAGCAGAACAAATACAATAAGCTGTAGTTGTTCTGGTGACTATAGTTTCCCTTAAAATTTTTGCATAAATCATACATTAAAATCATTTCATGTTATGACAAATATAATTCTATAATTGTGTAATAGGTTTGTATTTTTTCATATATTTTTTATATATGATTTATATTTTTTGATATTTTAATATTTATACAAATCATTGAACCCATAAGTTAATTTAATCAAAAAGTGTATCCGTAAATGTTAAATCATTTGAAAAGCTAATCCAATAATATTAAATTGAGGCCTTAATTGCCATTTTTTTTCAAAGATTGCACAGATTCAACCATTGCCAGATCCAATAGGATGATGGAATAAAAGTCACTTGGCTTATGTTGCAGAATTATTTATATTGAATTATTTTGTGGGGCAGGTAGAGGCTCCCTTGTGCTCCCTTCAGACCCAATTCATCCTGGTTGTGTAGCAGGGGTAGATAGCACTCTCTCTTTCTTGCTTCTAGCCCAGTACATTCACAATTACAAGATTTTACTAATATCATGACGTAAAGTGAATATGCTCATACTCTTTCTTTATTTTCTCAGCAGCAAAGAGAGAGAAGAAGACATTTTAAAGAGTATGTGATCTGAGTCAAAATGGTGGGAAAGCATAATGTATGTAAGGAGGCCAAGGTTGAAGGAAAGCATCTGTTGCTAGCGTTTCTGGGTCTGGTCTCCAAATGAAGAAACTGGGAAGTCAGTCATGAGGCAACAAGATCCTGGTCTAATGAGCCCCAGAGATGTAATTTTGTTTTAAAATACATTCTTTTGGAGTCGCCAGTCGCTGGATCCATGTGATAGTATGAATTCCAATCAGCAACCATACTGGTCAAAACTGGGGTATGTTCGTCTTGAACTGGTAAGGCCACATCTTGAATATATTGTGCTATTTTAGGCATCTGTTCTAAAGAAGGATATTATGGCACTAGAAAAAGTGCAAAAATGGGATACAAATTAAAAAAAGGAATGGAACATTTTGGCTATGAAGAAAGGTTCACAAATTTAAACCTCTTTAGTTTAGAAAAATGTCACCTGAAAGGGGATATGATAACATTATACAAATATATCCGAGGCCAATACAAACCATTGTGTGGAAATCTATTCACAAACAGGACTATACACAGGACACAAGGTCCTGCATTTAGCCTGGAAGAAAGAAGATTTAGTCTAAGACAAAGGAAAGGTTTTTACCGTAAGAACAATAAGGACGTGGAATTCTCTGACTGAAGAAGTGGTTTTATCAGAGTCTGTGCAGATGTTTAAACAGCAACTAGATGCATACTTGCAAAAACATAATATTCAATTATATAATTTTTCAACTGTAGGGTAATAGTTTCTTGATCTAAGGATAAACTTGACTGCCATTATGGGGTAAAGAGTTTTTTGTTTTCTAGTTTGTTGCAAAATTGGAAGCGCTTCAAACTGTTTTTTTCCCTTCTTTTGGATCAACAGCAAAAAACGAATGTGAGCAAGGCTGAACTTGATGGACACTTGTTCCTTTTCAGCCCATGTAACTGAAAGACTGAAGCCCATGGAGCAATGCAGGGGGGGAGCGGGCCTTGACAGGACCAGAGATTTGGCAGGTGAATTGTAGGTCAAGGGGTTGGCTTAAGTTAATGAATGGGGAGTGGAGTAAAGGAAGTTAAATAACAGCCATCTTAGTTAGGGTCCATTTTAATTTGAGCGGATCCGAGGCCGGTGAGAAGAGTGAGGCCACCCCAGTGGCTTAGCCCGGGAGCGGCACCAGAGGCGGAGGAGCCCATCAGGGCGGGCAGGAGATGTGGCTGGCAG